CGAAGAAGCATTGTAGTTCAGCTGAAAAGAGTGCTCCAGGTATAGAGTCCAACCAGACTCACAACCACTGCTGCATTCTGAAGCCGATGCATTCATCTCCCTTGACTCAACTCAAAGGAATGGAATCTAAAAGGGGTTGGCTATATTCTCGTTTCTACTATGAAGGAGTGTCCAATTTATGATGAAGAGACTAGAGAGTAATGGTAAAAAAGGATATAAAAAAAAGTTAAAATAAATTTGATGAAGCACTCACTCACATCACATATATACTGTGTAACCTATTATTAACTGCGTGACAACGTGCCTATCTAGTTTTGGTTTGGGGTCAGCACCAAGTTGGATAAAGTGTTGGAGAAAACCAAGAGAATCGGACTCAAATCCTAGACTAGTTTTGTCCTGATATGTGCAAAGTGCCAGTGAGAGAAAGAGAAATTCACAATCACATGCACATGCTAGACAGCGATGCACTGTGTACCCTCTTAACAAAACCGGGTACACGTCCATTTCCCCTTCCACACTGTATGGACACCTATCCCTTGAGCAGTTATGTAATGTAATGCCTCTTTTCTCTCTCTGTCTGCACCCATTACATTACATGTCCCTATTTGTCACAAGATTACTGATAACATGCATCATTAGTAAAGGGTGTTGCGGTTGAGAACAATATTAAGTGGTCCTTTGATTTAGTGTTCAAATGTACTGTTGTAGACATAAACAGCACACATTATTTAGTATCCTTGTGCCTCTTTTTCCTTTTCTGTGCCCATCATGTGTCACGATTAAAGAATGACTCAACGGAAACATAAACCTCTTTTATAGTTTGGAGTTTAGATTGCTGCAGAGCAAAATGTGCCAGTTGTTTTTTATGTCAGTCACATTCTCTAAATAAAAACATTACCACCACCACCACCACCCTTTTTTTGTGTGAAGAGATTCTATTACTATGCATGCAAAGAGAGAAAGAAATGAAAATAAAAATGGGTTTGGCAGAACTACGACAATGGAGACTGTAAAAATTTTTTGGGGCACAGTGCAGTTGACTGGGATTTTATGAATCCACATGCAATCACATTCACAATCCTTTTCTCCTTTTCAAGAATTTACTCTACTAGGATTCACAGAAGCATGTGGGCACGTGTGCATAATATTCATATGCGGGCTTCCACATATTCAAACACATGTCTGCACGTGCACACGCACTTTTATCTAAATCACTCTTCTAAACTTTCATTTTAAATTCTCATTTGTAAAATTCTTTTTTACAGCAAACTATCACTCTACGGATAACGTCAGGACACGTTCTTAAAAATAAAATTAAAACTGATTAAATTTATTTTAGTTGGTCAGAAAAGAAAAGAAAAAATATACTTATACGAACTCCAACCATCTTAACCTGTTCATGAGAGGAATACTTTGGGCTAGCTAATTAGGTTCATATATAGTTTAAGTTCATTCATCGCAATCGCATCAAACCAAACTCGTGATTACCTGTACCAACTACCAAGGTAGACTTCTCTTCTTTGCTTTTTTATTTTTCCTTCTTTTTTTCTTCTTTTTGCTCTATGTACTAAATAATGAGGAACTCTTCGTCAAAAAAAAAAAAAAGAGAATGGAAATCACTTGTAATTTATTTACATTTCATAAGTAACCTTTATAATTTAATTTGGTTGTTTGAAGAAGAAAAAAAAGTTATGATTTAGCTTTAAAATATTTATTGAGAAGTGACTTGGCAATAGAGGAATATCCGGCGAATATAAATTATATTGAATATGTATGAGTCATGATTCTAATCTTAAAAGGTGGTGCGCACGTGTTGATGGTCAAATTTTAGAGTAGTCCTAAGGCGTACTTAGCAAATAGTATTTTCTTTAAAAAATAATTTAAAAAGGAAAAAGACAGAACAGAAGTCTAATTGTCTCATTCCCAAATTGAAATAAATAGATCCAATTCTTTAGGAGAACAACATAAAGATTTATCATGATGTTTTGACTTTTATATAATTAGGTATGACAATGTAGCGGATTTTGTTCTCCTAATCCTTGCAAAATACCAGATGAGTTGAAGCACTGATTTAAAAGACAGATTTATATTTTCTAAACTTACTCGGTGGCCACAATTCACATATATTTTTTATTATAGATGTAATATATTGTTTTTAACAGGATAAGCACACTTAACTGCATAATTTTGATGAAATTTAATACATTCATGTTGATATAATCGCATCTATATACATATATGATATAGGCAGTTTATTTTTATTTTTATTTTTTGAAAAATATAAGCAGTTTATATAGTCGCACACCTATATGCATATAAGCAGCAGTTGTTGAATCAATTCCAGACCGATAGATATGGCGTTACATTTTACTGATGGAATGCATAAAGACCAGAATTATAATTTGAGCAAGCAAAAATACAATATATGAGTATAAAGTTGTTTGTAAAATGAGCAAGAAAAATATAATATCTAAGATAAAATCAGATCGACATATGAAAATATCCCATAAGCTTCTTTTTCTTTAAAAAAGGTCAACTGATTGAAAGTTGTGACGTAGTCGAATATATATTTCTAGGCTAAACGATTAGGATTTGATTTTTAGTTTAGATATGAAATCATAACTGAAAACATTACATCATTCTTATTATTATAGGCCAATTTGGTGGGAAAAATATACTTCTTAATTATACAAAAAAAAAAATATTTGATCTATTTCTTTTATAAAGAAATTGATAATTATAAATTTCGACTTGAAGCATCAATATTGTGCTTGTATGTGACCTAAAACAACAAATACATTAATGAAAATATATGATACTTTAACATACGATTTCAAAATCTGTGTACATAAAACAATATATCTTTTAATCAAACTTTTAAATGAATATTAATATGCGAAGAAATTAGTTTATAACTCTCAGTTGGGAAATATTAAAAATCACTAAAAAAAAATCTCCCATATATTATTGACATTTCTTTGTCACATTCAATAATGAGTAAAGAGAGACTGTGAAAATGAATTAATTGAGAGAAGTGAGTTTTGTGAAAGAAGTGAACCTGAGTCTCGATCTTCAAAAGAGTGCAAATTTTTAGTAAAAGAATATATCAAATTTTTATTAAATGATTTTAGTTTTTGGTTTAACTAAAAAAATGAAGAAATGAAGCTTGCGGTTGATGAGTGTTTTTTGTTTCTTTAGAGGAGAGCAACAAAGGTTACTGGTATAAATTAGTGCATGGCTAGGGTACCTGGTTTGAAGGGGAAGAATGTAAACATAAGGACAAGAGTTTTAAAAGCCATGTGCAATTTTCCTTGGATCCTCAGTATTTATGGTGGAAGGGCAGTGCCCAAACAATTTTATCTCAAGGGAGTGGTTAACATCAAACTTGTCCTTGTGCAACTTCCCCAATTTAAGCCATAATAATTGGAAGGCAGATGATAAACACACCTCCACTCTCATATAAACACACCTCCTTTTTTAAAAAAAATATATAAAATGTTTAAATTACCCTAAAAAAAATGAAATTCCTAAATTTACACTCCCTTCCCCGCACCCCACACCCTTCATTCTCCGCACCCCCACACCCTACACCTCCTTTTTTCTCGAATTGCCGTTCTTCAAGCACTTCGACGCACACTCAGGAATTTCTAAATTTAGCTCAGCTATTTGTGGTGGTTAGAGTGTGTGTATTCTCCCTCTTCTCAGCCTCTCTCTTCCAAGTCTCACTTTCTTCCGCCTCGATGTGGCAAGCGGCTCTTGCACGGACCTCGGTCATGTTTTCAGCCGTCCTTTGAACGAGGGATTCTGAAAATGGTCCTGACCTGAGTCCTTTGCTGAAAGCAATCACAAACATTTGCTCGTCAGGGTTAGCCACTTTGATTGCGACTTGGTTGAATCGGTCTAAGTATTCCTTCAGGGACTCTTCTCGGTATTGGCGGACATCCAATAGATCCGCAATCGTCATGGATTTCCTTTTGTTTGCCGCGAATTGGGCCACGAAAAGTCGCGACAAGACGTCATATCCGGTTACGGATCTATCTACCAGTTGGCTGAACCACTTCAAAGCCGTCCCTGTGAGGGTACCTACAAAAAGTTTACAAAATACTGCATCAGATCCACCATTAATTAACATATGGGCCCGATAAATCATCAGGTGTTCGTCAGGGTCCTGGGTGCCATCAAACGGCGTGATACGTGGGATGGCCAAGTACGGGGGCACAACTTCACGTTCTATGGCTTCGGAAAAAGGTTGGAATGCCCTCGGTGGTTCTACTCCCCCTCTTGACGGTTCTGGTCCTCCTCCTTCAGTGTTGCCTCTTCGTAGCTCTGCAATTTGGGCTTGTAATGCCGCTTGCGCTGCCTCGGCTCTTCTTTGATGGTCCTCATTGAGGTGACGCATACGCTCGTGATCTTCCTGACGTAGACGCTCGGATTCCTCCACTCTCCTCCGCGCCTCTTCGTTCTCACGTCTCAGAGCTTCTACCGTGATCTTGATCTCCCTTATCGCTGGATCATTATTCAATGTTTCGATGTGGTGCTGGCGTAGGCGTTCTGCTTCTTCTGCTCGCTGCCGCGCCTCTTCATTTTCCCGCCTCAGCGTCTCCACTGTGGCCAGGATCTCTTGTAACGTCGGGTTGTTACTGGTCTCCGTGTGGTTTCGTTGGTACAAACGCTCAGCTTCTTCTGCCCTTCGACGCACTTCTTGGTTCTCCCTTCGTAAGGTTTCCATTGCGGCCAAAACTTCTTCAAGGGTGGATCCTCCAGCAGGAGGGTTTTCACATCTGCTGGGGTTCCCGGTTAAGAAACCAGCGGCATTGCTGCCATTGGTTCCTGCCGTGTTGCTTCTCAGGGGTCTTGTCATCGCGGCCGTCCGTCTTCTTCAAACAGGAAGGGTGTGGGAATGCAGTTTTACCTGCCCCACGGTGGGCGCCAAAATGTTCCGGTATGAGAGACCGCCGCCGAAGAACCCTTGGCGGTACCCAGCTAAGAGCGCTTGGCAGCAGTCCCGACCTAGAACATTCGATGAGAGTAACCTAATCTGCTCGTCCCCAATCATTGCTATGTATAGTAGTGTCGCGTTCCCCTCTGTGGATCCCTTGAATCACGCCCCATTATGGGTTCACTCTCCCCTGCATTTATGACCGTCATCCCCCTTATCCCAAGAATCCCGGGATCGTCTAAAGCCATCTTAGTTTTAGGTGCCACGGCGTGGCGTATTGGGTCGGAAGTTGGGCCATGCGTGTTGGATCGGTCTCGGGACGATGTGTGTTTTGGGTCGGTCCACCACCATACATCGGCCCACCACGGTACATAGCCCTCCATGCTCAAGCACTAAAGTGCGAAGAGCATGTTGGGTCGGTCCCCGGACGATGTGTGTTTGGGTCGGTCCACCACGGTACATAGCCCTCCATGCTCAAGCACTAAAGTGCGAAGAGCATGTTGGGTCGGTCCCCGGACGATGTGTGTTTGGGTCGGTCCACCACGGTACATAGCCCTCCATGCTCAAGCACTAAAGTGCGAAGAGCATGTTGGGTCGGCCTTTGATTTTGGAGGGACTTAGCCGGTCACTGCTTTCGATTCTCCCTCTTCTCTATCATCTGCCTAATTGGAATTTTCTCTTACTTGTATTTGGGGGCTTATGTCCAAAGGTAAATCCAGCTCATATGGGCCATCATTTGACGGTAGGAGATATGGGGCTTCAGGCCCATGCATGCCTATTTTGACCTACTTCCCATCCAACAGGTCAACGTCAATTAACCCGTGAGTGGAGACCATGGTTACAATTCTTCTTTTAGTATTATACAAAATGATCTTGTCTCTTATAAAATAAATGTGCATAAACTATACAAATAAATTACTGGTTTGATTTGGTATCCATTTCTCAAGTGTGCAAAGATTCACTATTCATTTTACTCTATATGTTAAATGATTTTCATTTACTTAAATAAAAATGTTTACATGATACATTAATACTATATGGTACATGTGTTACATGGTATATATGTACTATGTAACATATGACTATAACACAATATTATTTTAATATTTAAAATTGTAATATAATGTCATTTTGTCTTTAAAATTGTAACACAATATCACTTTAGTTTCTGAAAATATAACTCAATGTTATTTTATTTCTTGAAATTTTAACTCAACGTCACTTTAATCTCTAAATGTTATCACAATTCTATTTTAATTAAGTAATTGTGACTTAACTTCTTTTTCAATAAAATTTTGATATTTAATATTGTATGAACTTCTATATATAGAACACAAACGATTATATTGCACCAGAGCGATTTTATGAATTTTTCTTAAAGATAATTTATATACTTATATATATATATATATATTCAAATTTTATATATAATTTATATATTTAAATATAATATTTATGTACATAATTTATTTTAAATTTTAGTTAAATAATTAATATTTAACATGTGCATATATTGCATATACTAAAATACTAAATTTTTTATTTTAAATATGTTATATCTCTTTTTCTTATTGTCAATTTTTCTTCTGTTTTATCCATTTCATTTCTTAAAATACATAAACAAAAATAGTTTCTAATATCTCTATATTTATATTTATTTTCATAATGATTCTCTTACATAAATTAATATTATTTCTACAAATATTAATAGATCTAACAACATATTTTTACAGTGATACATTCTACATAATATTTATTTTCATTTTAAAATTTTCTCTTTTAATTGTTTAGGTTGATGGTCCTCTAATACCATCTTAGTACAATTTAAATATATTTATCACCAAATTTTACGATATTAGTTTAATTATTTATTTTATTGTATAAATATTCAAATTATAATTACCTGATTAAAATAAAATTATGAATACGTTTAGAGGTTAAAGTGATATTAAGTTACTATTTTAGGAATTAAAATAATATTGAATTACAATTTCAAAGACTAAAATAACATTATATTATAATTTTAAATATTAAAGTAATATTACAATTTAAAAAATTAGAATGATATTATGATAGTCATATATTACGTGACACGTCTATATAAAACATATCATTTCATTTCATATATATATATATCACGTATTGTCTTATATAAGTACTTCCATTTAAGAAAATAAAATTTATTTAACAGAGGATAATAATTTTTATTAGATTTCTGTATTTATCGATCTTAAATATAAAATAAGGAGAAAAAAAAGTATATATAGAAAAGTAATTTCTCAGTGTCAACTGTGTCAATAACAATTGTTCACTTACTTTGTTGTTATTTTTAACTAAAACATAGTATTTGTTTTTCCTACTAGTATATATTTATAAACCTCTACCATAAATTATTTGGGTTCATGCGATATCTATTTTTGACACCCGCAACTCATGCTGGCATGAGTTGTTTTATTGCAGCTAGCATTTGTATTCGTTGATTGTTAGCAGCTAGCATTTGTATTCGTTGATTGTTAGCAGCTAGCAGAGCGGAAAAAGATATATGATGCGACAAAAGTATTATTATGGTTTGCATCAAATTATAGAACTCTCAAAAATCACAGCAAAATGTGCGATTCATGCACATGGCTAATCTAACAATGTCACCCTGACAGCCTATTAAAACACTATTCGGTTTCCATTGAATCATTACGCTGCTTTCATTGCACCCATTGAAACTCTATTCTTAATAAAAATCTTATGTACTCTTTCTTCTGGAGCAAATAAAATCTCTGCTAAGAGAATTCCTCTTTAATATAACTAAAATTTTCAAAAGATCTTCAAACTCTAGAGTATTCAAACATTACAAAACTCAACTTAATAACATAAAATGACTTGGAATAATTATAACACTTCCACAACTTATAATGTTATAAAGAGCAAAAAGGTACATAATTTATTTTAAATTTTAGTTAAATAATTAATATTTAACATGTGCATATATTGCATATACTAAAATACTAAATTTTTTATTTTAAATATGTTATATCTCTTTTTCTTATTGTCAATTTTTCTTCTGTTTTATCCATTTCATTTCTTAAAATACATAAACAAAAATAGTTTCTAATATCTCTATATTTATATTTATTTTCATAATGATTCTCTTACATAAATTAATATTATTTCTACAAATATTAATAGATCTAACAACATATTTTTACAGTGATACATTCTACATAATATTTATTTTCATTTTAAAATTTTCTCTTTTAATTGTTTAGGTTGATGGTCCTCTAATACCATCTTAGTACAATTTAAATATATTTATCACCAAATTTTACGATATTAGTTTAATTATTTATTTTATTGTATAAATATTCAAATTATAATTACCTGATTAAAATAAAATTATGAATACGTTTAGAGGTTAAAGTGATATTAAGTTACTATTTTAGGAATTAAAATAATATTGAATTACAATTTCAAAGACTAAAATAACATTATATTATAATTTTAAATATTAAAGTAATATTACAATTTAAAAAATTAGAATGATATTATGATAGTCATATATTACGTGACACGTCTATATAAAACATATCATTTCATTTCATATATATATATATCACGTATTGTCTTATATAAGTACTTCCATTTAAGAAAATAAAATTTATTTAACAGAGGATAATAATTTTTATTAGATTTCTGTATTTATCGATCTTAAATATAAAATAAGGAGAAAAAAAAGTATATATAGAAAAGTAATTTCTCAGTGTCAACTGTGTCAATAACAATTGTTCACTTACTTTGTTGTTATTTTTAACTAAAACATAGTATTTGTTTTTCCTACTAGTATATATTTATAAACCTCTACCATAAATTATTTGGGTTCATGCGATATCTATTTTTGACACCCGCAACTCATGCTGGCATGAGTTGTTTTATTGCAGCTAGCATTTGTATTCGTTGATTGTTAGCAGCTAGCATTTGTATTCGTTGATTGTTAGCAGCTAGCAGAGCGGAAAAAGATATATGATGCGACAAAAGTATTATTATGGTTTGCATCAAATTATAGAACTCTCAAAAATCACAGCAAAATGTGCGATTCATGCACATGGCTAATCTAACAATGTCACCCTGACAGCCTATTAAAACACTATTCGGTTTCCATTGATACGACATAATTTATGTGTATTATGAAATCCTAAATCTTAAACCCTAAACCCTAAACCCTAAATCCTAAATCCTAAATCCTAATTTAGGATTTAGGATTTATACACATAAATTAGGTCGTGTGAGTGTCAAAAAATAATGAAAAGTATAAACCCCCTAATCCCAATTAACTTTTTGAAAAGTATAAACAAAAAAGTATAAACCCTAAACTTTTTTGTAGGGTTTAAGATTTAGGGTTTAGGATTTAGGGTTTAGGGTTTAGGGTTTAGAGCGGAAAAAGATATATGATGCGACAAAAGTATTATTATGGTTTGCATCAAATTATAGAACTCTCAAAAATCACAGCAAAATGTGCGATTCATGCACATGGCTAATCTAACAATGTCACCCTGACAGCCTATTAAAACACTATTCGGTTTCCATTGAATCATTACGCTGCTTTCATTGCACCCATTGAAACTCTATTCTTAATAAAAATCTTATGTACTCTTTCTTCTGGAGCAAATAAAATCTCTGCTAAGAGAATTCCTCTTTAATATAACTAAAATTTTCAAAAGATCTTCAAACTCTAGAGTATTCAAACATTACAAAACTCAACTTAATAACATAAAATGACTTGGAATAATTATAACACTTCCACAACTTATAATGTTATAAAGAGCAAAAAGCAAAGTCACAGACTTGAATTAGTCGTATACTGACAAACGTGACATAAATAAAATCGATCATAAATCAACTACCATACGAAGACAAAAAAGTGAAGACTTATGACTTGAATCTGTCGTATACTGACAAACACAACGTAAATAGAATCGGTTGTACACCAACTATTATGTGAAGATAAAACCAGATTGGGAAAAATATGAAAGTATATGTAGATGACATGGTCGTCAAATCCGAAGACCTTGATCGGCACCTATCTGACCTTGCAGAAGTATTTCAACAACTTCGTAGACATGACATGCGATTGAATTCAGAAAAGTGTGTATTCGGCGTTTCCGGGGGTAAGTTTCTCGGCTTCATGCTATCGGCTAGAGGCATTGAGGCCAATCCTGACAAATGGCAAGCAATCGTCGGTATGAGAAGCCCCCAAAACCTTAAAGAGGTGCAACGGTTAGCCAGACGGCTCACGTCCTTGTCAAGATTCCTGCCATGCCTAGCTGAAACGGCAAAGCCTATCATTAGGCTGCTAAAAAAAGTGAAGAAGTTCGAATGGTCGACTAATTGTGAAGAAGCGTTTCAGACGTTAAAGCAACGCCTCAGCTCTCCTCCAATCCTCTCAAAACCCGATCCCCGGGCAAACATAGTTATATATTTGTGTGTGTCGGACGAAGCAATCAAGATCGGAAG